TTCGTCAGAGGTTTCTAAGAGCTGAAAGACAGAGGTGATTCATAAATGCATGCCATCACTTGCTCTTGCTAGTCTACATAACTCAGAAGTACCTCATTTCCAGAAACAGTGAGGTGATGATAGGGGCTATGGTCCTCAGCTGGGAACATGCAGGTATCTTCTCCTCTCTTGTCATGTCTGCAGAATTTATTTCTAGGTGAAGTATCCCAAGTTTTCAAACTTCCCCAAAGTATGTACCTTGCCTCTATCAGATCATAAAGAGAATATGAGAAAAGATCTGGAAAAAATTAGACTCAAGGATTAGATGAGTGCAAAATGCCATGGTCCATCCCATTATCCCCTGAAATGCCATTCCCTCTGTCCCTAGGATCCAAAATTCCAAGGTCCATTCTAGATTTCTAGAACAAAAGCATCCACAGCCACTTCCTGTTTCCACAACCTTCCAAAAAAGGAAGTCATTCCTGCAACACTGTTTCAATCTGTGCTCATAGTGTTGAGAGGTCTGGATTCTTCATCAGGTCCAGCTAAGTCCTTCTAGACTGTGTCCAAGGAGCGACAGGCTAAGCCGCTGCACTGGTATATGATTAGGGTTAAGCATGGTTAGGTTTTGGGGTGGATGTGGGTGACTTAGTGTCTTCCCCTATTAAGCCCTATCTGACTCAGGGCCTGGGTATCTACAAGATCACCTATCTCCGATGGGTTCCATCCACCCCAACGGAATAACCAGAATGCCTGCTGAAGGTTGTCATCTATTGAGAAGTGTGATGGGAGGAGTTCCAATGGACAATCCTTGTGGAGGTGGTTCTTTAGATGTAAGGGTGTTTCCCACTCTCACAGCTTGTATAAACTTGGCCTTTGGGATGATTCATAATATAACACAATGTTTGGATGTTATTGTCTTTATTGTTGGCATTGGCTTCGTTGGCTGCTGGTCTTTCTGAACTGCCTGGAGTCCTCTAAGATTGAAGCGGTTGAGAAATTCCAACAATAAATACATCCAATGAAACCACAGCCCGTTCTGGAATTTTGCCATGCTATGCATTGCCCAAACTCTGAAAGAAAGCAAATCGGTCACCTGATTAAGCATGTATGGGGAGTGCAGTCCACCAGCGTGCATTTTAAAGATCCGAGTCTCACTGGGCATCGCCCATTACAAATGCGGTGTCTCTCTTTGATTTCAGATCTGTTGCTCAACTTGAAAATGTCTACCAGCTACAACCCAGCAGACGTTTGTGCCTTCTCATGTCCTCCAACAATGGTGACAATCCAGCCACCTCCTTTCACCCTCACTATCCCAGGTCCTACCATCCACTGTCCTGACCAGCCCCTGCAGTTTCAACAACATAACCCATGTGTCTTCAACAAGGAGCACTCTCCCCTGCTCGCAAGTAGGAATTCCAGTTTTTACTCTCGAGCATTGCCAAGCGGTTCCTACACCTCTAGCATTTACCGTTACTAGACGCAAGGAAGAATTGCAACCATCTGAGCTTGTTTCGTGATCTTCCAGGAACCTGAAGGCCTACGGCAGCCAGATGCGCCAGCCCTGATCTGTGATTTTGTTCTGTTTGGAGCTTTTCTCGCAATAAGACGCCCACTTCATGTTTATCCCCTGCTTACAGAGCCTTTCTGATTTTCTTTCTTGGTACTGCTCAGAATAAACAGGGGTGATTGAACAGAGAACCTTTGCATGAAGTTCTTACCATGTAAACTCTGAATGTTAAAATCCAGAATGAACCATTCTGGGGAACCTTGTATAAGATCCAACTTTGTGAGATCTAACCTCTCCTTTTCAGTTACTTAAATACTGGGGTTTAACATCAATGTTCCCTCACTCCCAAGACATTTAAATTGCCAGTGCAAATAAATATGTAAATTGTGTAATACTAGTAATACTACACACGCACTTCACTAGATAAATCTGACCTGCCGAACAAATCTTTTCCAGCTTACGTGGTGATGGAATTCCACCACTCCTTCTTGCATGAGGAGGTCCCAGTCAGGGCATGTCGTTCATGGACAGAAGGCCTGGGATATTAATGCCCCAATTTTCTGGATTTGGGGTTCAGCTGGCATCCTATTAAACCAGCTCAGTCATGGGCCAAGTCAAAAATTAACTTGGTTTCGATTGGCTATGCCTTCAGAGCTTTCTGGAAGAGATTGAACAGGACTGTATCATGTAGATCTGAAGCTTGGCTGGACCTTTAGCTAGAAATACTAGGAAGTTTCTCATTTGCACATGCTTCAATTGCACTGTTCCACATGTACACAAAAGATGCGTTCCCCCCACTGCACAAAACCATGTTTGTTTTTTAACCTTAGCTTATGGCATATACCATAATTGCTTGGATTCCCAAAACAGATTGCATTACGAAGCATGGATTATAAGCCATCTGCTAAACTGATGCCAGAGCATCCAGGATCCATTCGAGGAGAAAACAAGCAAACTCAGCTTTGAATGTCTGAGTTTGGGAAAATCCTGACACATCATCAAGAATCTCTTTGGACAATCACAAAGGCATTTACCAGGGGTGTATCTGCCAATATTTAACCCTACTTTGAAAAGCACACTGCTTTATAAATGACACAGGGTTGAAAAATGCCTTGAACGCTCATTTGTCGCAGCTTGTTAAAGACATCCTAGTCAAACCCTTTGGAAATATGGCCAATTTCAACCAAAGACAGCTGAGAAAGTCCCCCGTTACCTACCATTGCTGGCTTAAATGTTGCATTTCAATGTGGGTTAGCCAGGAAATAATTATAATTAAATGCTCATCAACTCAAGAATACACACGTAGCTCTCTAATCAGTTATGGGCCCAGCAGATCATGTTACAGTTCCCCTCCAAAACGGTTGGCTCATTAATTTCGTTCCAGAGAAGGGAAGAGTGGAATAAAATGTGGCTTGGCTCACGTCTAGATTTACCCAAATGACTTATTTAATTGTTGGCTTCCCTCCCACGTTACACCAGTGCTGCAACGTTGTTCTGAGCTGTCTAAATATAGGACCACAGTAAAGAACCCATTTAAATAGCAAATAACATGTATCTCACATTCTTGGGCTAGGCGACATAATCCTTGGAGGCACATCCAATTTATTTAAAACAGGGAGGGAGAGATTTATACTTCTCCTGTCCAAAAGGCAGTGTGGTTTGGTGGTTAGATTATTGGGCAAGCGAAGATAAGGAAACCAGCAAAAACATGTTCTGACACTTTGCCTAAAAGTTCAGCTGATCTGTCCTTTTTCAATATCTCATCTAGCCAGCGGCTGTTTCAAACCAACTTCTCAAAAATGTGGTCATCCCAACAGGTTGTGATAAAAATTGCAGCTTGAATAATTGGTGCCCAATTTCCTTTTTTCTTCTTCTTTCCTTTACCATCTGCATCACTTTTTCCTCACCTGTTGTATCTCTGAGATTAGAAGCTTGGAAAGGGGGACTACCTTAGCCCATAAGCAGATTTCACCCCATGTACTACAACTCCATCGAGAGTTTTATCATTGGCAGATCATACCTGTCACATTTTGTCAGATAGGGACAGCTGAGAAAGAAAGCTTGATTGCAATTGTCCAGAATCAAATTTAAGATTTAAGATTTATCTAAAGAAATCAAATGAATCTGCCGGGTTTTAATTCCAGCATACATCTTCCATGGCTAGGATCCTAAACAACTCTGAAAACAAAAGGAAAATTAAGGACAAAACCTGATCACAGACTCCCGGGGTTTGCTGGAGTTTAAGAAAGGTGAACTAAAGGGGAAAAAAGGAGAAGACTATTTTTACTTCAAAAAGAGTGGGATTTTTTTTTTCCCTAAATAGCTGAACAGTTCAGATCTTTTCTTCTCTCCCCACCCTCTTTCGAGACACACTTGGAAGGTGATCAAGAAGTCACCTAGGATTGATAAGCAGTGGCTGAAAAATCTTCCAAGTTTCTTGGAGCTGAATAAAAACATATTTTCTTCTACGCATCCTTTGTACATTTGGGGGGGAAGCCACAATCTTTGTAAGAGACCGCCCTCTTGTGGTAACAGCTGGCATTTGTAAATTTGGGACAGTCTGGGCCGGTGGAACATCTAAAGACATTCAAACCAAGTGTCAATTCTTCTCCTCCATCTCTCTTGCAACTACAGATCGTTTTCCTTCCACAAAGATCTAGTTTTTCCTCCCCATAACTTCCTTTAGCCAATGTTTTGAGTTCCATTTCTTCATTAAGCTGTAAGAGATCCAACTTCAGATTTTTTTGTAGAGCTTCCAGATCTGGGCTGGAAAATTCCACACAACGACCACCAGAGGGCAACCAAACATTTTTCATCTCTCTCTTCCGGCCCTCTAGTGGTCAACTGGAGCTTTGCAGTCCAGATCTGGTAGCCCTACTTAATGTGCTTGTTATTTGTTGCCAAAATTCGTATCTTTCCCCCACCGCCATCCCCAATTCCAAAAGTCTTGGTGGTTTATAACAGTTTGGAGGTTTTGGTAGAACACAGGAGGAAAACAGAGGGGAGAAATGTACGATGCAAAAGGAAGATTTAATCAGAAGAACAAAAGAAATAAGAAACAACGATACTGATTCAATTCTAGCTGCGGGTTTGGTTCAGGGTAGCTATGCAGAAACGTGAATTTTGACTTGCTGTAGCAGATACCTGTTGCTTGAAAATATATTTTTGAGTGTTTCTGGATTCTTTTTGAACATGGTTTTGGGGTCTGTAGCAACATTTTTTTCATTTCCCCAGCAGGCTAGGTCCATGACCTCCACCACTTCCTCCAGTTCAGAAAGTACCAGCAGAACTCAGAAAGGAAACTATAACCGTTTTCTCAGTTTTTAGGTGCTGTCAGAAGAGAGAAAAGGCAGACGCAGAAGTCCACTGAAAACTGGTCTAGGATTTCAGACCTGAGGCTGTGTGGACAGAAGAATTGTTCTGTTTTATGTCCATCACTGTAAACGTAGCATTCGGTTTCATGTTCTGCTTCTTCAGTGGCCTGGGGACTTCTGACTTATTTCTTCTGCATTCAGTAACAGGAGATGTCCGAAGGGCCTGGCAGCACCGCCAAAGTTCCTCCATAGGAACCCCCATAAGATCGGCTGCTGAAGCCACCACTTCTGTGTCCACTCCCTCCACCGACGGAGTATTTGATCCGTCTGTATCCACCAGTGTGGCCATAACCACCTCCATATCCAGAGGTACCATATCTGCCACTGCTAAAGCCACCACCATACCCACTACTGCCATAACCTCCACCATATCCACCACCGCTGTACCCACCGCTACCACCATATCCACTGCCACTCCATCGGTGGCTTCCGCTTATTCGGTGGCTGCTACTCCAACCACCCCCTGCTCCGCTAAGGCCATAATCGCCACCAGTGACGCTCACCGTTCCAACGCTGCCTCTGCGGCCACCTCCTCCACTCCAACCAGCCACAGTACCTCCAGCTCCAATGCTACCTCTCCGTCCCCCCACACTACCCCCTGTTCTGCTACCTCCACTCCAACCTCCCGTGGTAACCCTTGTTCCACCAGTGCTCAGACAACCACCTCTGGTGCCCCCAACTCCACCAGTGCCTAAATCCCCACCAGTGATGCTTCCTGCTCCAATACTGCCTCTGCGACCACCCACAGTGCCCCCTACTCCACTACCTCCACTCCAACTTCCTGTGGTACCCCTTGGTCCATCAATGTCCAGTCCACCACCTGTGGGGCCTCCTACTCCATCAATGCCCAGTCCACCACCTCTGGGGCCTCCTACTCCTCCAATGCCCAGTCCACCACCTCTGGGGCCTCCTACTCCTCCAATGCCCAGTCCACCACCTCTCCGGCCTCCTACTCCTCCAATGCCCAGTCCGCCACCTCTGGGGCCTCCTACTCCTCCAATGCCCAGTCCACCACCTATCCTACTCCCTATTCCACTTCCACCACTCCAACTACCCCCCCAACCTCCTCTTCCAGCTCCCAAAGCACCCAGAGTTCCTCCCCTACCCTCAACACCAATGCCACCACCACCTCTCGTCACCATGCCACCAAAGCCTGCACACGGATTGTATTGTTCAATGCCGAAGACTTGGTCAGGGCAGTATAATGCTGGTCCTGGTATAGTTAGGACAAAAGGAGGTGGCTGAACAGTGACTGTCGAGGCAGGACAGCTCGCATAGCACTCAGACATCCTTGTGGGAAGGCTGTTGCTCTGCAAGAGAAGAGCGAGAGGCAAGTGGTAGACCAGGCAGTGTTCAATTCAGCAGAAGTCTCTTTTGGATAAGGATCGACAGAGAAGGGTTTCAAGCTGATGCAGCTAGTGGAAAGAATGTTAATGAAGCCAGGGGGGTCAAAAGTGCTGTGGAATGCGCATTGCCTAATTTCAGAATTAATTCACATACAATTCAGGAATAGAACCAATGCAGGATATAGTGCCCTTAAAGGAAGAGGAGAATAGCCCTCCTTTGGTTGCCCACCATCTGGTCCAGATGTTATTGGAGTCCATTGCCCTTCAGTTTGGCCAGGGATGATGGAAGTTTGCTTCCAACAAGATTGGAGGCTCATAGGCCTCCTGCCTCTAGTTGGAGCAATAGCTGAGGCTCTTCAAAAGCCCGAGTGTGTTTCTTGGGATGGTAAATGGTTCAGCTTTGGTATCTGCCCTACTTTGCTTCCTCAGAGTCTTAAACTCTAAGAATGTGAAGAAAGGACAGAAGGCTGCTTTTCCTGCTGCAGTGAAATGGGGAGATCCAGGCCAAAGCATCCACCCGATCTTTTCAATGAAGTCTAGCCATCTGTTAAATCTCCTTGCTAAACAAGTGTGTCTGTTCCCTCATCTCCTAACTGGGGACGTTGCTCAGAACCCAAAGATATTGGATCAGGGGAGAGAGTGCAAGAGAAGCAAAGTTATGGGAAACCATCTCAAAGACTTCACCTGCTCTTCATTCATGTCGCCCTTGATCTTGGGGTAGAAGACACCTGCTCTGACTTACCTCGTTCTTCTTGGTGGAAGGATCCAAAGAATCCAGAGAGATGCTGTGAAGGAAGGCGTTGAATGTCAAACTTCTTATACCTCTTGGTCCACCATCAGCTGAGCGTGACACACCACTGGGCTTGATGCCAACCATTGAGACCTGAAAGGGAATTATGATGAAGAAATCACCTGCTTTGGACTCCCCCAGTGATTGACTATCAATGCAACAGTAGTAAACAACTTCTGGGTTGTGTTTGCTTGCCTTTTTTCTCAGCCAGGTTCAGTATGATAAGGTCTCCACCCAGCAAGGTTGCCCAAGAGGATTAATGAATTTTTAGCCTTATACTTTAAATGCTAGGGGATATGAGTTATGCACATCTGGGTAAACAGCTTGTGCACCATCCCAGATATGCCATGCCTACTCCAATTGTTCTTCATCATCAGGAAGACCTGAATTTGTTGGGCATTTGTGGATTCCATTTCTTGAAAATGCCCAACGGTGTCTGCAAATTCAATAAAATTGAGCCGTAGATGATTTGAGAAAGATTACAGACCTCCCACTCACTTTGCACTTCATTAAATTATATTAAATTATATAATTGGGTAATGCACCACACGTTTCTGGCCACTACCTTCAAAACAGGGTGGGCAAACTGATGGAGAGAAAGTTATCTGTGGCTTGTAATAACTAGAGATGGTCAAATTACCAGCCTGCATGTCTATTTTCTGAGTCTTTCCAGGAAACATCCACAGATACAATCCAAAACTACATTCAAATTTTGAACGTATCTTTCCTCAATCTATGCATTTTTATTGCATACCTTACGAACCTACCCCCATAGAATATCCTTTATTTTTTCTAGGCAACTTCAGCTAATCAATATTATGCAGCATTCAGAAGGAGACGTTTCAGTTCACGTAGTTCATAGTCTGAAGTCTAACTTTCCTAGAAAGATGTTGAGTTGAGTTGCAGGAAAGGTGTCCAATCAGGACTGAAGAGACCTGATGTCTTCCCTGAGTTCCCACCATATCTTTGGACCATTCCAATGTCTCAGCCCAACTTGCAGGATTGTTATGCGGAGAGGAGTAGTGATTTCATGTTCTGAGCTTCTTCAAGGAAAGGTGACATGATTGTGATGTTGAGGATGGCTGTAATAGGGGTTTGAGACCCAGTGAAAGTCAGAGAATTTGAAGCAGATCATTTGTCCATCACCTGAAGCTAACTCTTAAACTTAATTCTGAAGTTAAAAGTAGACTTAGAGGGCATAGGGAATGGCCTTGAAGAACAGACGTGTAAGATTCTGTTACTATATCTGTTTGAATAAAAGTAGTTTTAGACCTATATAGCACTGGTTTCTTGGTCTGGTCTACGTTATAGGGCTGACAGCAGGAAAGACTAGGCTAAAGAGTGATTAAAGCAGAGGAGGGGGACTTAAGAGATTTCTCAGCATTATACCAGGTTGAAATTTATTTTCACTGTGCTAATGCTGTTATGTTTTCTTGAAGGCACCATGACAGAAAGCAAGGTCAACCACTGAACATAGGCTTCTGCCCCAAAAACATGGAGGGACCTGCTCTGCGTGGCTTTATACAACCCTGATCTGAATGCTCCTGTCAGAACCGGAGGGTGTTTTAAAAATACGTTAAAGCCATCCTAAATTATCTACCTCACCTGTCACATATGAAGCCTATCTCCACATCTTTGTCAAATTGGAGCACCACTCTGTATGAATCAGTCACTGATTACAGCTGGAGTTGAACAAAGAGGGGAAGGGCGCGGGTAATGACCCAATTCAATCCCAAATGAACAATGCCTTGGATCCACCCTACCCCAAGGAGTTCAGCAGATGTGTAAGGTTTGACACTTCCTATCAGTGAGAACTATAAGAGATAGGCCCAGCTGAGCAGCCTGCCAGAATTCTGGATCACCTGCTGGATTTACAGTTGGGTGGAATCATAATCACTTTATCTAAGAAAACAACTGCACGCTCTTCAGTATGTATCTACATCCTCATCTCCCTGTTCTGCCAACTTCAGCCACCCCAAACTCTCCTGCTTCGGAAAAAGACTCCACCTTTTCTCCCTCACTGTCCCAACACATGGAGGAGACGGATTAGTTCTCTCGCATTTTGAAAGCCTTCTTTCAATCCACTTTCATATGATGGAGAACCATCATATCCTTCCCAAACCTGAATAGAAGGACCTCCTAAATTTTTAGAATCAGTGTAGGCACCTTTAGGCTTTGGAGAACATCTTGTGGAACCTATCACAAAAGGGTTGTCACTGAGAGAGCTTCTCCATTCTCAAATTGGTGGTGATGGTGTTCATGTCCATTCATCAATGCCCTTTTATGAGAAGACAATCCTTACCAGTTCCTCTTGCTAACCCATAATGTTATCTCCCATCTCGGCTTATTTTACCTCTCTTCTGAGTTGGGGGAAGTGATATCCACTATTTAAATTTTCTAAGAACGTCTACTTTTCTTTATTTCTTACTTGATATGTCATCTTTTCCTCCAGAGGTGCATACTACTCTCCAATTTTTCTCTGTAGGAACAAACCTGTGAGGTAGGTTGGATCAAGAGACAGTGGCTGACCCAGAATCACCCAGTGAGCTTCTGTAGTGAATGTGGGACCTGAGTCTTCCCAGTCCAACTCCTTCATCCCTTCTGCTATACCACACAGATTTTTCCCTGGTTTATGCTGTCTAGATTGAAGTAGATGCTCTTTTGTATCTAATATTCGAGGCCATGCAACCATAATTTTAGCACATTCCCCTTCCTCTGAAACAGCATTCATCCTGAGATCTGCATGGCTCCAACTCTGGTGGGTTTTAGGAGGCCAAAACCAAGGAAATGAATGTTTTACATTTCTCTTTAGGTATGTCAGCACTAGCTACTGCAAATTAGCTTTGATATTTCTCAACCAGGGAAGGAAGAAGGAGCTATGCCAAGTTGTGGTTAGAGAATCTTTTAGGAGAAGATATCCAGAGGAGATACATAGGAAGCCCTCATTAAAATGTTTTAATTGTTATTTTATAACTCTTAATTGCTTGCCGAAGGCATCTTACATCAAGCAAAGAATCTGTGTCACTGACCTCAATAGGCACGTGCCAAAGTGAGTGTCTTCAGCCTTCTAAGAAGGCTGTTCTCCATCCAAAGGGGGACAGCAGGAACACATCTCCCTGTAGTTCTATTGGATTTAAACTTGGATCATCAATTGTGTGAAGAGGAAAGTAAGAGACATTCCACAGGGCAAGGCTGACAAGAAAAGATGTCACATTTGAAAGTTGAAAGTTGAAGATGTCACATTTTCAAGCAATTATTTTGGAGAAGGAGAAAAAGAAGATCAAGAGGCAAGAAAATGGTTTTTTTGAGGGGGGACTAGCACTGTGTGTTGCATCATCCAAGGAAAGATATCCACCATCACCCCAATAACAGGACACAATTAAGATGCTAGAACAATCATGTCAAGCATACCCACAAAAATATTTCTTATCAATGCCTTAAAACATCTCAGGGAAGGTCCCACATTTTCAGACCTCAAAAACAAGGGTATGACCTTCAGTTTACTACTTTGGAAGCTATAGCATTGCAGCCTAAAGGGGAGAAAAAAAGGCAATAGTAACTTGAACATTTCTCATCATGGTTCCTCAATCCTTGCAACCATACATGGGACAAAGCTATGCCTGATGAGCAAAAACAACAACAGAAGTGAGCACCCCAAAGGAACAGGCAAATGCTCGGTCAAAACTAAAAGAGAACTGATGAGTAGATGATGTTTCAACAACCTGAAGTTTGTCATGGATGTTTCAACTGAAGCTACAGTGTTCTACTCAAAGCTCACCTCCTGGCCATCAAAGTTGGTCCAATGAACAAGATCTTATTATAAAGGTTCCAGTACTTCAAAGAGTTCTTCTTCTTGAAATAACATACCTTCAATTGGTCATTCGTTCCTTGAGCGTGCACTACCTATTCTCCCAAGACTGCTTCATGGCTTAGGTGATGGACTAACTTCTGGAAAAGAAGCTCTTTAACCTGACAGAGCAGATCTCCCTGAAGGCAATTGGATCTCCTTGTTATGCCATCAGTCTTGAGAGTCACTTGGTACTCACAGTCTCTTAAGCTAGGCCTTTCAATCTGAGTTTGAGATTTGGTTGTCTGATTTATCTTTATCCCATTTTTCCACTAGAAACTCAAGGCAACATATATACAGCCTCTGTCTCTCGATTTTTCTCCACAACAACCCTGTGATTTGTGTTGGGCTTACAGATTCTGTTGGGCTGAAGTCATTCAGCTTCAGTGGCTGAGGGCGGATCTGAATCTGGGTCTCCTCAGCTTCTCCGGCATCTTAACTACTACCCTATACTTACTTTCTGCCACAATCCTCAATATTTTCAAGTATTCTCCTATCCAAGTCCTATCAGAGAAGGTCAGGCATTTGAGTAGTATGGCCATTGAGTCACCCATGGGGCAAAGTATGATACTTTCTTCTCCAAATATATAAGAAGTTTCACACTCCACCCTCCTTCTTCTTCTCCTCCTCCTCCTCCTCTTAAGAAGATGACTTCTGAGAACATCCTGCCTTCTTTTTGAAAAGAAATATACAGAATTTGAATGGCAACACTCTTATCAAAAATTGTGACAATCCCGCCTTCACAAAAAGGGAGGTGAATAATTAAAAGTAATTTGGTGGAGCAAAGATGACATTAAACAGCAGGGAGGCGTCAACTAACGCTATCTCTGTGGTTGGGGGGGGGGGGATATCTGCAATTCCTGCCCTCAGAGTATTATAAAAATGTGAACTGCACAAGATGCTACTTGAAGCTTCTCCTTGAGATACCTCCTCACCTACACAACCAGGTAAGACTCAAAAAAGAGCTTCTAAAATGCAGTTTGGGGCTGATTTTGTTTCATGGAAGGGGGGAGCTAAGTCAGAGCTGGTATTGCATTCTCTTGACCTCTTCACCTTCTCTTCTGAAAGCATCTTCTCCTTCTTCTACCCATCTTTTCCTGAAGCTGCGTCACCTTTCTGTCTTCATCTCTGCTCTCCACGTTGACTGATAAGGAAAAATAGGGTTATGTTCAAAAGGCCACCAACTAGACTGTGAAGCAAATGGATAGCACATCCATCCAAAATTCCCAAAACAATCTTGCAATAGTTTTCCTTTCAAAGGTTGGCTGTCCCTAAAATTAACTGCCTCTTTGTATTTTTTTTTTCCAATCTATTTCTTAGTTTGGAAAACCCTTCTCTACTTCACGTCCCTTCGACAATTTTTCCAGAACTTTCCAGAAAAGTTAGAGTGCTCCAGGATATTCTGTGCCTGAATATTTTGGTCATCCTGTTGCATCATGGTTGAGAGCTTGGAAATGAGTATTGGATATTTGGTGGAAAATGTGGTCTGAATTAGAACATCCTAATCCATAATCCTGGGTGTAAAAGAAATTAGTTTTGCTATGTTCACATAACATGTTATACCCAATCACCACCACCACCACCACTTCTCCTACTCAACCTCTCCTCCTCTTCCTCCTCCTCCTGCACCTCCTCTTCCTCTTCCTCCTCCACCTCCTCTTCCTCTTCCTCCTCCTCAGCTAATCTGGGCATTCCCCTGATCTTGGATCATTTCTGCAAATTACAAAATGAGTGGTGCTCTGAAAATTAGTATCATTCTTAATATATATGACTGTTTTTCCAGAGTCATTTTTCCTCGTGTGTTTGCGTGTGATCATAAAATAAACCTTTAGGGGTGGATTAGGCTGAGAGAGTATAATTAACTAACAGCTGCTCTTGATCTTATTCTGAATGCCTATCTGCTCATTATCTTAAGAACTAGTTGGGGAATTTTGCAGATTTGAAACTCCCAGGAAGTCTAGATTCTCCGTCCCATACTAATTCAACAAGGTTGCTGCAGAATCGTATAATATCTCGAGTTCCTGCTCATTCTGATGGTCTCTCTTTTGTCCCCAGTGTTCTTTCACTGTAGAGCCACCTCCATCTGCTGAAATGGAAAGGAGACCCCTCTGCTACGCATCATGTCCTCCTTCCACGGTGACAATACAGCCACCACCCTTCACATTAACCATCCCAGGTCCTGCCATCTTCTGTCCCAACCAACCTTTTCATATTATGCAATATAACCCCTGTGCTCGTGATGGTATGGGGATAGGAGGAAGAATGATGTTTTCTGACTTCATCAGTGAAGATCTGCCTGATCTGAAATTGGAGTCAAGCTCTGGACATGGGTCGGCTCTTGTGACTCTGTACCGATCCAGAATGGCCCTCCTTCTAGCCATGACTGGCTCTAACTGATGGAACCACAATAAAAACTAGAAAAACTTGGCTTCCTTTCAGAATCAATCCCAAATAAATTCACCTAGAACTCTTGGTGGTTAATATTTCTGAAGTCCATGGTTCCATGTGTCTTCTTCCAGATTTGTTTTAGATTAGAGTTTCCTTTATTGTTATTAGATTTTTTTAACTTCAATCTGAAGAGTAATTAGATTGATGTCAGCCTCACTAAGTAGATCAGACAGGAAACATGACCAGAGGGGCTAATTCTGCTTTATTGTAAAGCTACATTAACAGAATCTTGCAAGACTGAAGTACAATTCTCCCCCACCTCCTTTACACCCTGAGAAGGGAGGGAGGGTCCCTTCTGAGCCTCTTTCTCCACCCATTATACAGCTGCGGGTTATGCTGTCTCTTATCTGACCATTGGCCCAGACTCCTAAGGTCTTTCCACATACCATTACAAGAGTAAACCTCAGCCATGAATTTCCTTTCAGTTGTAGAGCAAACCCTATACCTCTAATATGGCTGGTGAATCCAACCATGGTGCAAACCATGTTTTACACTTCAGGGGATGGTACCAATAGCACCTTATTCCACAAAGTGTTGTCAAGTAGAACATGACTTAACAGAATTTGTGAATCCACTCTGCTGCACAGCTCCACTCCCATCTATCATTCACAGAGATGGCAGATGTGTCCACATGTTTGCTTGGAGACCCTTTGGAGGAGGCACAGCCCTGTTTTACATGTGGCAAACTCCTGGGTAAAAATGTGAAGAATTGCGAGCATCAATATAGAGTTTGCCTCAGAGCTGCAGTAACCGACAAGAAGCTTGAACAATCTACAAGCGTACAAATATGATTGTGTGATCACAGAACATACACAGGTATTGACAGCTACATCAGGCCAAGGAGCTGTCGAGTCCATATTATATGTTACACAATGGTCAACCAGAAGCATTTCAGAACCTCCCAAGTTTTTGGATAGGGAGGTGATTACTTTCTGCTGCCACTGCTCCACAGTAAATAGTATGTAGGACATCCTCTCTTTGATTCTGGAGACTTGATGATAATTTATTACTCCATGTTTCTCCCATCCTGCTTAGAACACCACTCTGTTGATGGCTATTGCTGATTACATCTCAGTTTCCAATAGGATCCTTACAAGCTAAATGCTACCCTAAGCTGCTTGCATAGCACAATTCAGGAAGAAGTGTTCATTGTGGCTGCACAATCATTCTGGGTTTTCTTCTGGCTTGGATTAACTTCAATGGGATTAAATGTGGGGAGTAGCTTGATTTTAATCTCAATTGCTTTGGGTGGGGTCTCAACGCATGGGCTTTATTCATGGATGAATTTCCGTTTCTTAGAACTCTGAGTCAGGGCAACATTAAACCAGAACATCAAGAAGATGGCCCAGAGGAACGTCAAAATGATGTTGCTGTCTAAGGAACAGAGACATTATCACTCATTTGTTCATCTGAATGGAGTCAACTGAACTATTTATCCAAGGTTGAACAACTAACATCAATTCAAGGACCAAATTACAATTGAATTAACAATTTAATTCAATGAGAGATCACATGAATATAAGTGTAGGCCATTTTAAGCATATCTAACTGCAGCCGAACATTATGGTCCATTATTTGCACATTGTGATCTACACTCTGGAAATACATTTTTTCCCCAAGTTTAAATAAAGAAATATGAACTTGGAAAAGCTTATTCCTGAAAATCATCTGAAGTGATGCACTTTGATTTAATACTTAAAGTGACTTGGGGAATCAATTCAGAAATCCAACTTTGAAGAGTCATTCACATTCCCTTGGAATGGAATCTTCAAATGGTAATATTCGCACACCACAACTCTGCAGCGGAATTGTAGAATTTATTCCAGGGCAAGAAAGTTGTGTGGTGTCTGTGATTCACCAACATCCCAGAAATAATAGATGATCCAGGACAAAAACTTTGGAAAGTGCTGTGAGAGATGTGCTGAAGGTTCTTGGAACAGCATGCACTTCCAAACTAGGGAATGGATATGTTTGTAGGACAACATAATAAAATAAGCCAAAGAGAAGCTGTAGAGCAATTGGATATATAAATCATTTAACATATAGAAGAGTGGTCAAGTATAAGAGATATTATAATAGTCAGGTCAAATACATGTGGGCATCTACTGAATTGGATTCTGATTAGAAACTTGGTGTCATCTCACCAATTTATCAGCACGCTGCCATTGAGAAAAAGTGTTTTGTCTCTTCAGTATTAATCAATGATACTAAAGGGCTATTATGCAAATAGAGGGGAGGTGATATGCAAATGGGCTGAGGGAAATGAAAGCTAGGGCCAACCACAGAAGTTCTCAACTGAGAATTCTGGAGGTGAGCCCACCTCCATGCAAGAAAGTCATAGAAAAACCGCCCACCCATCACACCTTTGACTGATATAACATCTCATGGATGAAACCTTCCCAGATTTGTGCCTGCTGCTGCCACTCTTGAACTCAGATGCCATCTCTTCTGCTCTCCTTCCATCAGAGGGCATTGTTCACCCGCAGATCTCAGCGAGAAATCGAGTAAATGCAATGTTCATCCTTTCGAAAGAGAAGAGTCTTGGTTATCTTAGAAAAGATCTGCTGCCATTTCAAAGCAGTTTACTGGAGGATGAGAAGTCATTAAGGCAGAACCAAGCTTGCTGAGAGCATCACAAAGAGTTTGTAAGGAAGGGTAAGAAATTATAGCAAGGAGAGCACGATTATCAGGAAAAGAAATGTGGCAAAAGAAAAGTACCTTGGAATTAGGCTGGGTTCACACCAGCACACTAAGTGCTGGTTTAACCACTTTCTATTCAATAAGCCACTGCCAGTTGAGGCTATAGAACACCCTAAGCTACAGACCATAGCTTACAAAGTACAATAACTGGGATCACCACAAAAGTAGTTGTGTAAATCTCTCTTATCAAGCCATGGCAAAAGAAATTGTGGCCTAACATGAATGCAAATTAATCAACCCACAGGAGGACCAGTTGTTTGCTTGTATCTGCTTAATCAATCTTTGAGTGCATCTCTTAGACCAAACCATGGTTTGTATTCAAGAAGTGTTCCCTGAAGTGGGTTCAAGAAAGATGCTAAGTCCCCAACCATGGTTTAGAGGCCACAATGGTTGAGTTTGCACAGCACACTAAACCAAAATGAAAATCAACTGTCTGACGGCTTAATTGCCACACTCAGATGTTGGATGAAAGACCATCAAGCCGTCCAAGAAGTTGGATGGAGCTCATAGTTAGGAGGCATCTGGAAGAAACTTCCCAACAAATTCCTCCTTCCTCAAAGTTGTATCACTCTTATCACTCGAGACGTGGAAAATCTGTCATCTCTCAGCCCTCTCTGACCAACTGGTACATTGTTTGGAATGCGCCCCTCCTAAACAATTTGCTTCAACTCACTTTTCCTCTTTGTCTAGATGGGGTAATAATTACACAAGTAGCAAATCTCTTCCCTGCTTTCTTTGACAAAGGATACAGTCAGAAGGTGATGCGACAGAAACAAGCAATGTATTCAAGTCAAAAGAAAAGAGGGAGGGGTGCAGTGAATATATATCACTATAATTAGTTGTAGCGTGTCTCCAAAGGTACTTGAGGTCAGCAGGATCTTCTCTCGCCACCTCTCTGGTCATAAGTTCTAGTCTGAAATGGCTCTTACTGTTAGGAAGGTAACATAGCATAAATCCATCACTCCATAACTCATCCTCTTGGGTGGCAGAGAACTGGTTTCCACCTTTGTTCTATGCAACTCCTGTCTCCAGTACCATCATCCCGTCTCCTCCTGTCTTCTTTTCTCAAGACTTCTTTGTAGGTCTGTTTCTAGGCTCCTAGTCTTCTGCGTTGCTCTTTGGTTCATCTGCTCCAGGTTCTCTTCAGATGTGGTCTCCAGAGTTGGATCAATTCTCAAAGTGGGACTTGACTAACACAGAGCGGAATGGTCCCATATGATTTTCAAAACTCTACTTTATACTGACGCAGCTTAAAATTACAGGTTTTTTTTTAAAGCAGCCGCTTCACCCCTCTGACTCATCTTGGGCTTGTGAGCAATTAAATTTCCAAGGTCCTGTTCACATGTATAGTTACCAAGCCAGGTATTCCCGTCCCTACACATATATTTTTGATTTCTTTTTTCTAAGTGGCCAACTTCTTGTGTCCTGATTAAATTTCATCCCCTAATTCCTAGCCTTTCATTCTGAATGCTGTTCTTCTACAGTTTGGTGACTTCCATGTGTTCAATCAAGCATCGTGTGCCTTGTTCAGATTTGACTTAAACCAAGTTACCAGTTTGGAAACCATATGGCTTTGTGTGTCATGCAAATCCAGCTAACCATGGTTACTATATGACTTAGGATGATGATTAGCTCGAATCTCCCAATGAACTTCGAGGTGATCTGAAAAGAGTTGTTGTTCTCAGATGACAAGGAAAACTATTGTTCATCTGCAGAGGCCCTGATTTGTATACAAAAGCTCCAAAGTTCAATTTCCCCACATCTCCTTGTTGAGACGGGAAGGACTTTGGGCTAAAATCTAAAGCACAACCACCATTTCAGGACTAGATATACAATGAGGGTCTGATGTGGCATATACAAAAAATGCTCCTAGCTGTAACTTCTGAAGAAAGATAGCTCCTTTCTTCAGAAGTTTGAGGCCTCAAATCTTAATTTTATCTTGCAGAAAGGTTACAACTTAAATAAATACATTGAATCAATATAAACTTGTGGGAAATTTGGATTTTTCTCCATGGGCAAGATTGGACTTCTGTCATTAACATGCAAAACAAATACAAGCAATTTATCAGAGACGGAGTTTTTGATTTGCACAGATCCTTGGCCCATCATTATCCTTTCCAAAGGCTGGGAGAAATCTTGTTCATACCCCAAATGCCTGGCCTAGTATGCGTTACACCAAAGGTATGGTAGATGGTCCTCAAGGGGTTATTCAGCTGACTGAACACAAAGCAAGACATAATTATACCACACTGTTTTCTGAGATTATCACTCACTCATCTCTGTGAATTTTCTTGCTACACTCACCTCTCAACTACGCTCCACCCTCCAAGCACCTAAATTAAATCAAACACCCATGGGCGTCTTGAGGATGCAGTGCAAGAATTTAATGGACTTGAACTACACGTGGAGCTTCATTCCTTGACATTCCTGCCTTCTCTTCAAAAAGACCTGTTTGGACCTTTTGCCCCACTGGAGATGGCCCACATTGAGACCTACAAGAGGGATTCCTTGTGACCTCCTCCTTTAAATTAATAATGTGTCCAAATCTACCTTCCCATTCCCTGAAAGTTTTTCTATCTTGCCTTCAGGAGACTGTAGACCTTTCTGTAGACTTCTTTTGGTCGCTTTGTTGAGCTTATTATCACTGCAGAATGAAACAGATGTGTTTTTTCCGCTCTGGGAAATGAAGGTGTGTGTTATCTCTCTGTGTAGGTGTCCTCCTCTCCCTTCCTGGTGTATCTGTGGGTGCTTGTGCGCCTTTGTGTCACGAGAA